TTAAACCTCTTTCCTTTATAAATTATCCAGTCTCAGGCAGTCCTTTATAGCAGTATGAGAACAGACTAATACAGATATTTTAGCAATATTAACTATTCCAATCCAGGATAATGGGGTATCTTTCCATTTATTAGTGTCCTCTTCAATTTTCCTTCACCATTGCTTTATAGTTTTCATTAAAGAGATTTTTCACATTTTTGTTTAAATTTATTTCTAGATTTATCGTAGTTATTGTAAATGGGATTGCTTTTGTGATATCTTTTTTGGATAATTTGCTGTTATATATAGAAATGTTACTAATTTTTGCATGTTGATTTTGTGTACTGAATCTTTACTGAATTTATTAGTTCTAACAGTTTTTCAAACGGTCTGTAGAGCTTTCTCTATATAAGATCAAATCATCTGTAAAAAGAGACGATTTCTCTTCCTTCTTTCCAATTTGAATGCCCTTTATTTCTTTTTGCTGTCTAATGGTGCTAGCTAGGACTTTTAGTACTATGTTACATAGAAATGGTAAAAAATAAGCATCCTTGTCTTAGTCCAGATTTTAGAGGAAAAACTTTCAGCTTTTCCATATTTAGTATAATGTTTGTAGGTTTCTCATATGGCCTTTATTGTGTTATGATATGTTTCTTCTACACCTAATTGTTCTGGGTTTTTATTATAAAGGGATTGTGAGCTTTACTGAATGTTTTTCCAATGGCTAATGGGATGATCACATAATTTTTGTCTTTTATTCTGTTAACATGATATATCACATTTACTGAATTGCATATGTTGAATCATCCTTGCATCCCTGGGATAAATCTCACTTGATGATGGTAAATGATCTTTTTGAAGTGTGTTGGATTTGGTTTGGTAGTGTTCTGTTGAGTTTTTGCATCTATGTTCATCAGGGATAGTGGCCTATAGTTTTGGTTGTTGTTATGTCCTTGTCTGGCTTTGGTATCAGGGTAGTGCTGTTCTCATAGGATGAGTTAGGAAGAACTCTATTCTCTTCCCATTTTAGTAATAGTTTGAGAAACATTGGTATTAGCACTTCTTTACATGTTTGGTAGAATTCAGCAGTGAAGACTACTTCTAAGTTTTTCTTTGTTGGGCAACTGTTTGTGGGACCCTGTAACTTCTTTATTTACTTTTATTCTTTTAACTTTTTCCCTTAGGACTTTATTTTCAAATAGCTTGTCTCCAAGCTTACTGACTCTTTCTTCTGTTTGATCAATTCTGCTGTTGATGCTTTCCACTGGGTCTTTCATTTCATTCATTATATTTTTCAGGTCTAGGATTTCTGTTTGAATTTTTAAAATTTCAATCTCTCTAGAAAATTTCTCTGATAAATTTCTCAATTGTTTCTCTATATTTTTTGAAGTTTGAGAAGCATCCCTAAAACAGCTATTTTTGAATTATTTGAGAGATCACACATCTCCATTACTTTAAGGTCGGTGTCTGGTGCCTTATTTTCTCTCTTTCGTAAGGTAACATTTCCCTGAATATTACTGTTGATAGTGGGCATGTGACAATGTCTGCACTTTGAATGACTGGGTATTTGTTCCAGTCTTCACAGTCTGGCTCTACTGTGCCTGCCATTTTTCAGAGGGTCTACCAGAGATCTGCAAAAACTAATTGTGTTTTCTGGGCCTGTGAGCATTGAAGTTATTTTAGCACTAAAGGGACCTCTCAGCCCAGGTTTGCTGTGAATCTCACAAGGACTCCTAGGTTGGCATGGCTGGCTGTCCTAGATGTATCTGGGGAAGACTTAAGGAGAGTCCCTAGGCTGTTGATGAAAGCTGAACAGGGACCTGAAACTAAAATATTTTCCAGTGGCCCACACAAGTGTGCTTCTCAGCAGGTCTCTGCATGAGTGGACTGGGTCCTCTCAGGAACTGCTGTGTGACGGTAGCTGATGAACCTGTCTCGTTGGCCCAGATGAGGGTGCAATTCCCAGCAGGTCTTTGCACAGACGGTATAGTTCCCCAAATGTAGTAACGGGGGCTGAGATTGAGACTGGCGCATCTCAAGATCTGTTGTGAAATGGAGCTTGGTGAACTCCTCATGGAGGCTCAGACTCCCAGGCTAAAAGAATATGGGCAAGTTACCTTCTGTGTCCTTGTAGAAGCAGTTCTGATCTGGGACCTCACCTGAGGGAAGCTCGTGCCAAGCCAAAGAGCAACTTTCAATGGTCTTCAGTATGAAGACCATTGTCACTGAGCAGACAAGTCTCTTCACTGAGGCAGTAGTCTGTGTTGCTCCTCTTGGATGCCTTGGCAAATGGTTTTGGTGCAGGTTGAAGGACAAACAAGGATGTAACCAAGCTCTTAGGGAAATGAGATTATTCCCAGACTTGAACCTGGAGGCATAATCAGCAGATCAGCAACATGGGTGCTGGTCTGTACTCTCAAAATAACCCTCCTAAGTCTTGAGCTCCACTGGGGCTCTGCAGCCTCCTACCTGAATCCTGAGACTACTGCAGCTACACTTTTGTCTGTGGATGGGTGCAGAACTCTTGTTGTGAAGGGAGATCAACCATCTTTTTATTCCACCATCTTGCTGATTGTACTCTTGTTTCTGTGAATCTAGATTGCCAGCTTGATAACACTGAATTTTACATTTGTGATTGCTGCTTACAAATCTGAAATTGTAGAATTTTCCCCAAACTATGTTTATGTAAACAGCTAAATGCAACTTGAAACAGTTATGTAACATAATGCCTATCCCTAAAGATATCAAATAATAAGCAAGGCTAATACTAAATAATTAAAATTTTTGCCTTCTATGCCTGCAGCACATAACGCATTTTTTCAATACAACTTTGATAGTTTGTTTGAATATGAACTGTGTCCCAATGCCATGTCCTCAAGAGACCTGTGGGAGTCTTTGCACTTTGCAGTCACAGCTGCCTCTCATTTCTTATCAGGTATGTGACATAAAACATAATTGTTAAAATAATATAAGTAACCAAACATTTTATTTAAAAATATCAGTCATCATAACAAGACATTATTTAAAAAATATTAATAGTTAAGAAATATTTGCAACAAAGATCAATTAATGAAAAATTTCAGTGAGGTTTTGGGATATTAATCTGGAGCAGTATTGTAATAGTTCTTTTCATATGAACACTGTGCAAATAAAAACGCATTAGCTACTTTGACACTGGACACCTAAACCTCCTGTTATCTTGCCCTGTGAAATACAGATAATTAATGTGTCTCTCTTGATTGCTGATTCAATAAATCTAATTTGCTTATTTCCATATTGATTAATTTTGATATTTAGAATGTAAAATAATGTGTCCTTTGTAGTCATAGTATTGCTTGCCAAAATAAAATGCCTGATTTACAAAATATTACTCATTTCAGCTCCCATTTAATTTCTGTAGGGCATGTGAAGCTATAAGTCACATAATCGACTTTTAGCATAAAACTGTATTCTGTATCATAATGGGTCCATTGTGCTTAAATGTCTCTATACCCTGCTAGAAATAAAATGTTACTTGGTATCTAGAACTAATCTATAATAGAATATTTTTCAACTAATTGCGACACTATGGAAAATTATATGGAATATTTCTTACAAAGACCAACCTATTAAAATACAATTGTGATTGAGTCCATCATTAAAATTCCCAGGCCTGACAATGACACAAGCACGATTTCAGTTGGAGCAATCAACATTTCCTTAGTAGATACAATTTTTAGTAAGCATTTGTCCTCTTTCTAAAAGAATGATACTAGCAAGACGGTAACTGAATTTTGATTATGCTATCATTGTGAAGTTAGATGTAAGTAATCTATCAGATTTCTTTTATAGCTAATTGGAAAAGAAGTGAAATATAGAATTAAGATTCTCATTCTACTGGGAACTTTGAGACAACTAAAATGTTAGATATAATTAAATCATAGGGTTTAAATGAATTTGAGAAGTCATCTATCTAGTCAAATTGCTTTCATCTGAGAACAGACTTAAATCATTCTTCCCTGATTACAATCTGAACCCTTTTAAAGACATCCTCAATTAACTTAGCAACTATCATAATCCATTTTCTATTGCCATTACAGAATACCACAAACTGGAAACTTTAAAGAAAATAAATCTATTTCTCACAGTTCTGGGGGCTGGGGAGTCCCAGGGCATGGCATCAACATTTCATGAGGGCCTTTATGCTGTGTCATTCATAACACAGGGTCGGAGGACAAAAGAGCAAGAGAGCGAAAAGATTGAACTTGCAGCCTCAACTTCTTTAAAAGACATTAACCCATTCAGGAGGGAGGGCTCCACCCTCATCACCTAAACATCTCCTATAAGGCTCCACCTCCAAACACTGTTGCATTGGGGATTAAATTTGCAACACATAAATTTGGAGGGATACAGTCAAACCATAGAAAACTTGAAGGACTGTCCAACAATTTTCATTGTTGGTGAAATCATCCTTACATCTGAATGAACATCTCAAGCAGCACATAAAGTACTTTTGTTTCGTCATCAGTTTATATGAAAAAGGGCATATTTGAAACTTTTCCATGAGTAATTAAAAAGCTGTCAAATCAAGGTTTTTCTCTTCTAAACTGGAGAAAATTTGTTTCTTCAACTGCTTTTTCTTCTCCAGGTTTACTTACAGAAAAATTACAGAGAGATTCTAGTTATTTTAATGATTTTGAATTAAAATTTTATGCAGTCTATAGTCCACCTATTTTTTTGAAGCCCAAATTGGACCAAAAGGCTCTTAAAAATGTGTTTAAGTAAAGTTGACTACAGTAGGATTCTTTGTCACTCCTGCCATGACTTGGGGTGTGTGTGTGTGTGTGTGTGTATGTGTGTGTGTAAATTTTAAAATTCTGCAAACCTATGTATCTATACATTTTTCCTATTATTTACAACTAATTCCTGAAGTTGTTCTTCTCACTCCTTTAACTTACCATTTTAGCTTGGAAATTTGTTTCCTAAAAATGAATTTGTATATATGAAGCATTAAAAACAATTACTGGAAGAACTGAACTTACCCTGGGAGCAAAAATGGCATCGTTGATAGAATGCATGTGACCATAAAGTGACTGCTCACATTTACCCTAGAAAGACAAAGCAGAAATAAAGTCAAATAAATTTCATTCAGACTGTGAAAAGGAATTCAAAGATGCTTTCATTTAAGCTTTAAAGCAATTTGTCAGCCCTCTCCCCCAGAATGAATACATTCTCACCATAGAGAATATTAGCTTATACTATCAACTACTATTCAGAATCATACAGAGCTATAGTGGGGAGCATGCCATAGTGCTGGTACCTACACTGAAATATTACTGCTGGTGCCTTTACACCATTGAGCTAGGAGTAAACACTCACTAAGTGGCTCAGTTTCTCAGTTAGCATAGCTTTCAAGCCCTGAGGCCAAGGACTATTAATAAATCTCTTGTTGGAAAGCTGTTGTTTTCAGCACAGCATTTCTACTGCTGCTGGGGGTAGGTGGTCGGGTCTCTCTTCTTCTTTTTAAATTACAGAATCATATTTTAGCTCCTGAATTTTCCCAGTTGACAATTAATATCATTACATGTATAAAATTTATAAAATATGTGCAGGGGTTTTTTAAAATATAGAATAGGCATTTGTTTTGTGAAAACCAAATGTCACAACTATTCATTCAGCTTAACATATCCAAGTAATAGCTAAAATTAAAATTAACCACAAAACATCCAAGCTTCAGTTTAAATGTTTCCAGGAAAGATGGACCTATAACACATTATAATGGGGATCTAAAGATTTAAATGTGGGGCCTTTCATTTTGATACCAATGTTCAACGAGCATTCTCAACTATTACAGGGAAATAACCCAAATTCTGTAGAAGAACAAGGGAAAGTTATATGTGGACTATTGCTTGGAGAGTCTTGCTGTGTACTTGGAAATTCAGATTTCATTCAATTATTTGTTTGTTCAAAAAATATTTTTGAGCAATTAATATCTGTCAGCACAATTCTAGGTGCTGAGGATAGGTCAACAAATAGACAAAGAATCTTATTCTCATGGACCTTATATTTTGGTACGGGAGGTGGACATTTTGTTATAAAAACATAAAATGTATTAGAAGATGGTAAGTCTGAAAAGAAGAAAATGTCAGGCAGGGTTATTACCAGCATCAATTTTTGGATTTGGAAACTAAGGGAAAAATCACAATATTAAGTAGAATTATTCAGTTGCGCCTCACTCAGAAGATAAGGTTTGAATAAAGAATGAAGTAGTAAGAGTTAGCCAAGCAGACATCTGGAGGAAAAGTGTTCCAGGTAGAAAGAAAAGCTAGAATAAACATCCCCAAGTAAATGTTTGCCTCACACGTCTGGAACAACAAGGAAGCCAGTGTGGCTGCAGAGAAGTAAGTCAGAAGGGTAGATTCACTCAAAAGTTTTCATCTACTTTCATTTACTACCTTGTATTTACTCAGCCTTAAATCTTTGAAGGCTGGGAGAGATTACAGAAAAAAATGTAAAATGAGCTATCAAAGATAGATCATCGTGATGCCCCTCACTGTTATTGTTCATTCATGGAGTATTTCTGAACCAAGCAAAGTTGGAAAGGCTTTATAACTAAGCTCTATTTGGTCTTCACTATTCGCCATTGTACTCATCAATTTAGAGAATCAATTCATGCTACGAATCCTTGTTCACAGAGTGCAAAATTTCCCCACATAAATTTAAGTTTCACAAAAATAAATGGAAACACTGATCCTCTCTGAGCATTCTCCAGCCACCCTTGTTATTATGGTTTAGTATCTTGATACTGTTATAACATTAATTATGCTAAGAACTTCAAATCATCCCAATTCCCAAAATAGAAATAAATTACTTACAAAGCCAAAAAGGCAAAGCATAAGATGTTATAATTAGTTTTTTATATTATCTTAGAAACTTTTTTGGCTAATTTTGAGAATATACAGTGACATAATATTATACTTGTATACTAAGTGCTAATATTTTTACAAAGATATAAATTAGCAAGGTTGTCTTAAAGTATATTTTTATATTAATAAAAGTTTTTGCATTTGGTCCTTTTCTAACTTCAGAATCTCTATCTGATTAATTGGTAAGGAAAATGTAGTGGTTTATTTTATTTATATTTTTACAAATTCTGAATGCCAAGTTTTAATTCAAAGTAGAATCTCTACGGCACTCTTGAAAAGCCCTGGAAATATGGGGTTATAAAGGAAATGCTGACGGACCACATTTATGCTGCTATAACAAAACCTGACTCGAAGATAAATGTTTCATGAATTTTAAAATGTTAAAAAAACTTTTCTATACAGCTTTGTTCCCAAGATAAAAGTGAATCTCCTCTTTTTGTGGTATAGGGAATATGAGGGTTACTAATATTCTAGTCTGCAAACAGCCTTAATCAAAAGCAATACTCAAACTGGGACATTAAAAATTGCAGTATCTTCTTTGATGAATTCTTGTCAGAATTGTTTTCTTTCAAAGGAGTAGAAAAAAATAAAAAAGAAGGAAGAGTTTACAAAAAAAAAATCATTTGACCCAACATGCATTGCTCCAGCATTTCATTCTCTCAGGCAGAGAAGCTGTGTGTAATAATGATCTCCATCCCTTGCCCTGGGGGTAGAAATGCCTGCACTTAATTCTTGGATCTGCCATATAATAGCTGTGTGACCTTAAACAAATTGCTTCACTTTACTGTGCTTCTGTGGACTAATATGTACAATGAGATAATGGCATTTAACCTATAGCTTTGTTAGGAGAATTAATTGAGATAATAATGTTGGTGTGCTGCCTAGAACAGAGTGAGAGCTTGACGAATATTGGCTCTTATTTGTCATAACTGAAATGCTGAATATTTTTCAATTGACATCTTCGCCCTTCTCCACTGAGCTCCAACTCTGAATGCCTATTTGCCTTCTTAAAGATTTCTTGGGGCCATGGGTGCTGTTTTTTCTGTGACCCTTAGATTCATTCTCCACATGACTCTGCCCTGCCCTAAGCCAGGCTCTCTACTAACTACATTGCCTAGGTTCTCAGGACCTCTGGGCTCTGGTTAGATTCAGCCAGAAGGAAGCATCTATAGGATATGGATGAGCAGAAAGACAGAGAGAATGGATACATTATCACTTCTGCTACTTCCCATTCAGCTGTGGCTGAATTCCACATGGCCCTATTCCCTCCCAAATTCCACGGCTCCTGTATCCTTTCTCATGGCTACTTGCACACTGTACCCAGCAATGCTTTCCTTCCCATCCCCTCTCAGACCTAGTGGCAGAGGGCAGGGATGACTTCCCATTGCTGCGAGTCCCTGGCTGCTGTGCTAACTTCCTTAACGCCGCCCATACCTCTGTAAACATTAAAGTTGACTCTGTGAGTCCCCTCTTTCCTGCTGCTGACCTGTCTGATATGGCATGTCAGACATAATAAGCAAAAGAAGACTTTGATTTACTCCTTCCTAACTGTCTATGTTGATCCTCACTAAATCTTTATACATATAAATGACATCCCCAGCTGCTCAAACAAACAAAACCAAGGCAATCAGAATACTTCTTTTTCTTCCCCCACTCCAGCCCCAACCCTCATCTACTACATCACGTCTGTCTTCAAAATACAGCGCTTATCTGCCCAGCTTTGTCCCTTGCCATCACCACCACTCTGGGGCAGGCCATCATCCTACAGACCCTGACTGTGGAAGGAGCCTCCTTCTCCAACTCCACCCCCACTCCCAGTCACTCCTTTCACCACCTCTAAAGCAACTAACAAAAGCTGAATCAGACCTTGCCACACTCCCGCATCTGACCATCCAAAACATTATCGTGGCACTAAAAAAATTCCAAACTCTTTATCTGTGTTCTAAGTCCCTATATTATTTGGCTCTAGTCTATGTATCTGACCTCATCCTTTACCACTCTTCCTTCTCTTTCACTGTGTTCCTTGAATATTTTCACATTTTCTCATAGTCAGGACTTTCTAAGCAGAGACCTGGGACCTGAATTAAAGAATGACTGAATAGCAGCCCTAAAGATGAACACCCCTGGGGAGATACAGGAACATCTCACCCTGAGGTATTCCTTCACATCCAAGGGTTGCAAGCCCAGAGGCCTTCTGTCCTTTTGGGAAGATTTGTTTAGATTTCGGAGCAAAGGTTTCTTTAATGTTCTCTCTCTCTCTCTCTCCTCTCTCACTGTCCTGTCTCTCTCTCTCTCCTCCTCCCTCCCTCCAATGTTCTCTCTCTCTCTGTTTCCTTTTCTGCCTCCACCTCCCACTACCCAGAGGGAAGAAGGAAAATTGAATTTCCTGGTTTGGGGTTTCCTTTTTACATAACCCCTTTCCTTCTCTATCCACAAGGTACATATGGTTCTGACCTAGCCCTCCCTGCCCCCCACATAAGGAATTGAGGAATAGAGATAAACAGTGTTCTCTGTGAGTAAATGGTTTGATATCTGATCCAGAAACCTCCCTTGTACTGTCAGGATAGTAAGTACAGACAGACAGAGGAACATATAGCTGTCACGCTGGTCTTCCTGTTTTCTAACTGCCTGGAATGCTCCTGCCTTTGTGCTGTTTCCTCTATTGTGGATGTTCTCATGTAAATATACACATGTCTTTATCCTTCCCATGCTACTTCCAACTCAAACACAACCATTTTCATGTTGTCTGAGACCTAATTTCCTGACCTTTCTCTTACAACTAGTCATTAGAGCAGCAGAAACTGTTTCATGAAACCCTTTTATTTTTCCTCTTGGGCACACAGCCAGACTAGAGGTCAGGTGTGGTCATGTGACTGAGTTCTGCTTAGTGAAATGCAGGTGCTACAGGTAGTTAGGCATGAGCTGGGCAGGTGAAGGCTATTCCGTCATTGACTAGAAATTTTGGGTGATGGTTCCGAGATATTGCTTCTCTAAAAATGACAATTTGGCAACTAGAGAGAGATAATCTTGTGATGGTCCACACTTGTTAACATTTAAGTGTTAATTGAATACAGGCCCCAGGAAGAAAGCAGCTTCTTGGGCATGTGTGTTAAGAGACAAAATGGTGAAGAATGACATTCTGGGGGCACATGCCACTGGAAAAAGGAAAAAGCCTCAGATGG